CACGCGGCTAGTGCGAGCCGACATACGCGAAATCGCGATTCCGGCCAAACATGGTCTCGGAAAAGAGGTCACAGGTCAAAGGTCATTTGGGTCAGGGTCATGAAATTTTCAGGGTAGGTGTAAAATTGATCAATGCGAGGGTACTGAAAGTTTCGTCGCGATCGGCCGCTTTTTACGCGAGTTATTCGCGAAAAACCATGGGGGGGGGTCCATCCGACCCCCCCTACACATGCGAGGGTTAATTTGATTACCGCTACTTGTTACGTTTTATAAACTCGCAGGAATTTTTATTGCACGTTACCTTCATACGCTGCATGAATTCGCTCACACAGCCGTTGCGCAAAATACAAGTCTTGTGCCTCCCAAGAATGTCCAGCATTCGTGGGACAACAGCAACTATACCAGCAAACTGAATCTAACAGCCACGGTGTTACTGAATCGTTTGTCAGCAAGGATTCGCTCCACTGGCTGCCGAGCTGGTGGGAAATGTGGACCAGCCGTGATGTCATTGGCTTTTGGGCCGACGGTACCCAGTACCCACTCGTCATCCATTTGTCTCGGTTCGGAGCGTCAGAAGCCGCTGCGGCTTACCTTGCGAGGTGTGCAGCCACCGCACCCACTTCTCACACGATTGCACTTGACATTACGGCTAAACTTAGCCACGGCTAGCTATGTTGCATCAAACATGTCAGTTTCTGACTGTGGTGTCACACCGCCCCTCCCTCATCACTTCTCTGCTCCGTCTTCTTGCTTCACATTTTCACGGGTCATTCTCAGCTCAGCCACGCCCCCGTGTCCGACATGGTGACCTACCCCACCCTTTCCCGCCTCCGTTCACGCTAGTCTGGCTTACCCCGCTCCATCTCGTCCGGTGATGGCCCAAGCCAGCCCCTCCCCTGTGACCTAGTCTGACCCGACCGGTTTCGCCCTCTGACCCAGTCTGACCCGGCTCGCCTTTTGCGAGCCATTCTGACCTTGGTCAGTCCCATAACCTATTCTAAGCCAGCCCTTCCCGCCATGTGGCTAGCCTGACCCCAACCCTCCCCCTGCCGGCATTTGACCCAGTCTGGCCCAGTCTGGTCCGCCCTCTGACCCAGTCTGACCCGTTCCGTTCCGCCCTGTGACCCAGTGTGACCGGTTTCGTTCCGCCCTCTCACTCAGTCTGACCGTATCGGTCCCTCCCTGTGACTCAGTCCATGACCCTGACTCTCCCTACCCTTTGGCCCAGTCTGACCCCACCCCTTTCCTAGCCTGCCACATGACCTAATATGACCCATCCGAGGTCAGTGGGCGGGTCTCGGTCAGCTAGAGCCGACCATATACCGTTAGAGCTCGTCTGCCGCCGATGCCGCCCCGGGGCTCGTCTACCGCGGCGCCAGCGCTGCATGCAGAGGTCCGCGTCTCCATGGGAAGGGTCGGCAGACATCCGGCGATGAACCATGCATCAGGCGCCGGGCCGGTGGTTTGGGAGAATGATTGAGCTGGATGTTAATGAATAGGAGTAATGAGCTCATCAGCGACCCACGCCGTACTACATGATTTGCGATGTGATAGTTGCAGCTGCTTCCTTCCTGTGTGTTGAAATTTGGTGAAGTCGCTTCAATAAGGGGTATATTGCAGGGTGGCTGGAAGAGCATGTTTGTTTTTCATACATTAACTACATGTGCGTCGTATCCGATGATCCATAACCCTTCTGAGGAAAAGCTTTCATATCCGTCCTCGCCTGATTCGGTATCAAAGCCTTTAGTCTTCTATATGCTAATTTGTTGACACCGTGACGAGACAAATCGACGGTATAGATAAAAATCTCAAGAAGCACATATAAAGCGTAGAAAATAGAACGGGTACAGCCTTCATAAACATAACGCGCGTCAGTAGAACTATGAATACGAATTCCCCTGGCCCTTGCAGATATCGAGCACGTTTGAGTGTTGGCCTAATCCGATAATTTGACTGCACCTTGTCAGCCCCAAATGGACATCGCACTTGGACCGTATCAGCTTTCACATATCGCGCGCTGTGAATTTCAGTCCTCAGACCTCGGATTTGAGTAGCACCAGCCCCTAAAATGGACCACGATATGTGTCACTTCAAGCCTTTTGTCACGAGCGTGCTGCAGTTGTAAGACATTCAGTGCAAACCGTGTCACGCCACAGACCTTGCCCGTCTACCGTGTTAGCCTACCGATAAGAGTGAACCATTCCGGAGATATCGGTCACCGATTGCGCCGCTCTCACTCGACGCACGCCGGACTCGGAGAGGTCGTTAATCTCTGTCGATCTCCGAGGCACACCACTTGCCCATGTGACCGGAACGCCCCTGCTCGGACAGACCAGCGCGGGTCCTGGAGTTTGAATTTGGTTTACGATCTACCGAATGTAGTCCGTCACACGCTACCGGATAGACATTGGACGCATTAGGATAAAGTATCACTCCTAGTCCCATGTCCTACTGTCATGAAGTGATTTCCAACAATCGAGCCAGCTTTCAAACAGGCTTGGGCACTGGCCGTATTTGATTATGTCTTATTCATGCACATGCATCGATGTAAATGAATAGGACTTTTCCTGTCGGTGGTGAACTGCATCGATGCCATATGTGGCTCTCAATCAGTGTCTTATGACTATACCTGTTCATATATCTTTATTGTCATATTATGTCTTATATAATGAAATAAAACTAAATAAAGAAACAATAAAGAAAACCTTACCGCACCGGGTGAGCCGAAATATGTACCGATGTGTAGGATATACCTACCAAATGTATATAATACTTTTAAGCATACCATTCCCCGTTGTCTTGCTTATGGCTCCAGAGGCGTTTTACATTGGGAAAGTGAAACAATATCTAAGTGAAACGTTTTTCGATTGTAAGAGAGCCTCAGAGCCATCCGTACCGAACAGTACCCTTGCGTTTGATCCTGCTATCTCCCTTCACCGTCCTATCATCCTGATCATTTTATCATATGATGTAACCGTTGGGGATGATTATGTGGCCCCGAGGCTAGCCAGCACTCATATTCAAAGACCACCTCTCTTGACCCCCGACTCACCAATCGCCACCACGATCCAGCCCCGAGTCGGAGAAGGGAGCCCGATGGGGCGATAATATGATGAGACGATGGGCGATGAAGCGATGGTGTGCGGTAGCGCTGTCACCTCTCTTGCCATCGGCTCAGACGGGCAGCGGTTTCCTCATTGAGGCCAGCCATCCGCAGTGGACCCCGTCGAGATGATGATGCCGCGTCTCCACAGGGGCTGATGATGATGAAGATGGTGATGGTGGTGAAGATGAAGTGTTAGAGAGAGATGGTCATCGCAGATAGAGCGGTCAATTCGATACAGCGATATACAGCGGTGGGTGCCAACCCGTTACTTGCGGGCCGCAAGGTAGAGTTTTGCGAGGAGGTGACAGGCGCAATGTGGAGTGGAGTGTGTGCTTAGTTAGTTTAGTGCGTTTAGTGATATTCCCACAGTAGATGTGGCCATCATAACTATGCACAGGCGAGGCTATAACTACAGGCTATAACTATACACATATAACTTGTGAGAAATGACTTCAGTACGTCTTTCCTTCGTCATGACCAAAACCGAGGAAGACCCGATTGTGATTTTGGTTACGAAAGAATGATGGAGGTAGCGGTGATGATATAACGGTGCAACGTGTGTGTCTGGCTTTCGATTTTGCCCACTTTTGGTGCCGAGGCTTATCGATGCGGTATACCATTTACATTTGGCTTGGCAGTTTGCCAATGCGAGCCATTGTTTGCATTGAGTTTGCATAATGGCGAAGGATTTACTTTATATTCAGTTGGTGACCTGTCTTAAGAGATGTCGCTTGCCTAGTTCCCCAACGGGTTTCCATCTTGAGAAGTGTATTCTGTCTCCAGTTGAAACTTTTACAGCTGTGCTTGAAGTATTTCCTACGGATGGCAATATAGCAACCGTAATATTATTTTCATGTTGCCCAGTCTTAATTTGAATGGTGACCAGAATTTTCTTCCTAGCTCCTAATCATCATCGTGCTGACAGTGCGTCGTCTTTTTTATAGAATACTTCTGCTCAGATGCTGCTGCGTTATGCAGATACGGCAGGTGCCAAATCACTTTGTTCTTTTAACAACCCATCCAATCAATAAGCATAATAGGCCTCATAACAGACGTCCATAAGCGCCGCATGCGTCCGGTTCGCACGGTATATACCGCGGTCACCGGGAGAGCAGCTGCAGGGTGCAGCCAGAGCAGCCCACACTGTATCTCCCGGGTCAGGCAACGGTACCGGTGCCAGTGGTAATCTAGTGACCGGGCGGCCGGCAGAGAGAGGCCCAGCCGACACCTCCAGCCTCCCTGGTGACCTGATTCGGAGCTGACCGGGACGCGGAGAGCCCGCCGCCGCCGGGGGTTGAACTCGGAGCGGGAAGGATGTCGGTGGTAGCCAGGTGTGGCGCTAGGGCGTGGTGGGTTATGATGGGAAGCGTGCAGGTATGTAGATCGACTTTGAGGTGCAGCATTTTGATGGATCGGCTGACTGGATATTCATAAGGAATACTCTATGCATTGTGATTGTTCTGATTGCTTGATTGCTTGCTTTTTATCACTTTTTATCCTGTATTTTCGACCAGCGAAAACTTCAATTATGTAGTTCATGAGGATATGAGACTTTTTCTGCATTTTTTTTTCCATTAGGCATGGCGATGTCTAGTTTCTGTGTGAGGGTTACTTATCCCGATGATGCATATTTACATGTTTATTGAGCGCTAATACCTACCTACATAGGTATATGCTGCAGAGTGGTCAGTGTATGTAGATCTCGACGAAATGATGGCTATTTCTGAAGAACCACTTCCGGCACTCCCTATGTTCGCCTAATATGATCAGTTAGTTTCTCTTTGGGAGGTGCAGTCGCACAGTGACACACCTGTGTTTTCACTGACTGCCTCGCCCACAGCTCTCCCGTTCATTTCAATCTCAGCGTTCCCGCAAAACCGCGAAACCATTCCCATCTCATGTGTGGTCTGTATTTCGTCATCGGTAACACCCAGTCACGAAACTGGCGCGGTGAGCGGCGCCGGCGCCACCCGGTGACCTCTGTGACCTCCCTGTCGCCCGCGGCGCCGGACATCGGGTCATTCTGTACACATAGACCGTGAGAGTCGGCCGCCCCCGCGCTCCCAGCCCTCCGCTCCGCCCCCTCTGACAACACAGGTGACGTCATCACCACATGGGTGACGTCACTACTACGGCGGCGGCGGCGGGCTGAAGACATTCGCAGCGGAGTGGGTCAGCGTCACGGTCTGGCGCATCTGGCCCCATATCGGACTGGAGCGCCAGGCACGTGCGAGTGATACGCGCCGGACACCGGTGACCCGTTTCACCGGCCGCGGACTACTGCACACTTCCCAGAACGCGCCGGTCGTGTCCTAGGCTATAACAACAGGCGGCTGTGCGTGGAAGCATTGGCGAATTTCGTGCCTACGCGGAGCAATATGAAAAACGGTAACGCGTGATAAATAAATACTGAAAACATCGGTATGCACAACAATCGACACTCAAATCATCTACCAAGCAGTGCTTAGTCCGTAACGCCTTTCACTCATTCCAATGTGCTCGGTCGCTTTCTAAGATTATTACACATCAGGGTGACTTAGAAAGACGGCGAGTAGTCCCTTCTCTTCACTGCGCAGCTTTGTCTGTGGGCAGCTTGTTTCGGGGCAGTACGGGTGAACCGGAACAGGGCAGAACGCGAGTGGAAGCCGCTCGTTGAGTGGATGGGTCGCTACCACAAGGCCACGTCTGCCTGCTTGGTCCCCAGAGATAGGCGCGTTCGCCCTCACTCAGAGTGGCGCACGCTCTCTGCGTATGGCAGCTCACTTGCCGCAAAGTCTGTCCGATAACCTCTAGTGAACCCGGGCGCTCAATCGGCGCCCTTGATGAACTCGGGGTTGTCGATGCCAGCAGCGAAGACGCTGGCCTTGGCGCCGCCGACAGCGCGCACCCTCGAGAAGAGGAACACGGAGACGATGCAGGCGACGGCCAGCACGAGCAGCAGCATCACCAGGCCGGCCACGAAACCGGGCACCGACATACAGACGCTGTGGCGGCCGGCGCTGGCGCGCGACTCCGACACCACCACCGTCTCGTTGTTGGCGTTCAGGCTGAAGGCCACGTCGCCAGGAGCCACCACCTGGATGATGCGCTCCGTCTCGACGTCGGTGGTGGCCTCGCGGCGCTGCACGTGCCGCCGCCGGCGCTCGGAGCTAGAGTGATGGCTGGCCTCAGCGGCTTGCCGCTCCAGCTCCTCGTCGCTAAGCGCGCGCGGCTGGCCCGAGAGGGTGTCGCGGCGCGGACCCGACTGCTGACGGCGCAGCGGGTTGGAGGGGAACGAAGAGGCAGGAGCGTCGGGCCGCGCGGCGTCGCCCTGGCGGTGCTGCAGCCGGGACGGCAGGTCCACTTCGTTGGTGTCCGCGGGGTGACCGGCCACGGTGGCGTCGCGGTCGCTGCCGGCTGCCTCGTAGTCCCCGGCCGGGTGGCGCGGGGTCAGGTCGTAGCCGAGGGATCCGCACGCTGGCGGCGGGCACTGGTAGCGGCACACCTGGATGACGCACTGGAAGTGGACGTTCATCGAGTCGGGGAACTTGAACGCCTGGAAGTAGGCGTAGGATACCACAGACGCCGACGAGCCGAAGTTCTTGATTTTCTGGAATTTGGACATTACCTTGGGTCGGGTCACGCAGCCGTTCTCATCGACCAGCTGAATCGGAGCGCGGTGACCGTCATGGGCAACGCAATTGCGGACCAGCATGTCGAACTTGTTCTCGTCGTCCTTGATGGCGAGCACCATGGTCATGGTCTGTCCGATCTTGACGATGCCGGACACCTCGGAGGCCCAGGGTCCCTTGCCGACCTGGATCTGCATCCAGCACTGGAGGTTGTCTCCGAGGAAGTTGGCCGTCACCGCGTTCAGCATGTCCACCTGGAACGGCTTGAAGGTCACCTTCTTCTCGTAGTAGTCGTACCAGGTGCAGCGCAGCTTGCGCGCCTGATCCCAGACCTCCTGCACCAGCGGGTCGTACTGGATGATGATGGTGTTCTCCACAAAGCTGCCGGTCGGGTTCGGCTGGCCGTAGCTGCCGCTCTCCGAGGCCGCCATGCCGCACGAGTTGAGGTAGATCTCAAACTGGGCGTTGAGCGCACCCGAGCCCGGCTGCATGTGCACGCAGTTGCCGTCCGAGTAGTGTCCCTTGCTGAAGATCATACCATAGAACGGACGGTCAAAGTCGACGTTGACGCGCATGCTCGACTTCTCACACTGCACCTCGATGTTGAGGATCTTGGGCATGTCGGGTGCGGGCAGCAGCCACGGGTCGGCTCCGATCCCGTTGGCCGGCGGGCCGTAGCCGTCGCCGGGGTGGGCGGGAGGGCCGAACGGCGGCGGTCCGTACGAGAGGCCGCCCAGGAGGGGGCCGCCGCCGCCGGCGCCGCGGTGCTCCACGGGGAGGTGGGCAGACAGCAGGTCCGGAGAGCCGTCCAGGTCGTGTGTGGAAGCCGCATTGCTGACGTCATCGCTAGAGGCGAGCTGGTGGAGGAGAGATGGAGGAGCGTTAGACATGTTTGCAGACGGCCAGCTCACGCCGAGTGAAATATGCGGTGGTTTTAAACGACTGATACGGGAATTAATGTCGTTTCAGAGCTATGTAGCTCCAGAGCGACTGCAAATTTATGGTGCTTTGATTGTCGATTATTTTCCAATAGCTGTGAACGTAAAATTTGACAGCTTCAAATCTACCACGCACCATAGTTTGATAGTTGGCTATCAATTTGATATCTCGGTCAAATGCTACCTAAACTTCATATCATAGGTATATCGTGGCATGATACAGTCCAAAGCTCAAATAGGCTATTTCTATCGCCATGCCTGTCATGTTAATTCAACGTAGGAATAGCGGTTATCATCTTCATCATTCAACATGTTCATTCATGCGCTCATCCTCAACAGCATCCAATTCGGTGTCGGGATCATTAACTTATCTCATCATTTCCGAACATCCGCCAACACAACTAAATAAATTATCTTTTACGCTCATCGTGACCCGGGCACCTCTCTGGGTGGTTTTTGGATTCCAGAGATGATTAACTGACCGCGGCCCACCTTCGGAGCCCGCTCCTCGATTACTTGTGGCCGGCTAATGGCGCTGGCCGTTGTTCTGACGCCGTGCCGGCAGAGGATTACCGGCCACGTCACCGTTACTGCGCCGACGCACTCGGTACTCGAGAGGTGCCGCACTCGGCACTCAGAGGCGCCGCACTCGGCACTCAAAGGCGCCGTTTTAAGAGCCGGCCGGCCGAACTGGCTCAAACGGACCGCGCTGTGGCTGAGACACTTTGCCGACCCGAGTTACCGCCTATGGCAGTTCTACAGGGAGGGGCCGTTGGTCATTTGAGACAGCAGCTCTAAGACCACAGACTGAGCACAATCCGGTAGCGACAGCTGATGGCCATTTGGTCAGTAAGAAAAACCGACGCTGGCTTTACCAGAGCCTACTGGTGTGACCCATGTCGACCGACAGACGTGGCCGTGCCAGGTATGTGGCCTCGGGAGGCGTCAGCCGGCTGGCGGACGGCGCGACGGAGACGGAGCGACGTTTGTGGCGCAGCAGGCACGACGTTTGCGGCGCGGACAGACGGTGTCAGTGCTGGCCGGGCACCGTTACAACGAGACAGCCTGCCTCCACATGCTGCCTTGTTTGACGGCAGCTTGTGTTTAACGAAGCCAAGTGACCTAATTGTGTGACGGGGAACTGCTCACGCGTAATAAAAACGACCGATTCGTGAGATAAAGAAGCCGATTATAATATGAAATGCTCGCTTTAATGGCTTCTCAATATTATTCATTACCTTAAAACGTATCCTGCTCACATTATGACAGAATTAATTTGAATATTTAAATATTCCTAGATCCTATCAAAATCTTGCATTGAGAAATAAGCCCACTATCGCACAAGCTTGGGGCCATGGTAATTGACTTCTTGGTCTATCAATGGTCTATCAAGAATGGTCGGTCTTGATACCGGTACTACTTGTTCCTTTTCATTTCACCAGTCCAAGACAAGTTTCCTTTTGAGTCTCTTACAATGCCCAACCCACGTTTCGCAAAACATGCTGCTCCGCTCCACAAAGACTGAATAGACTGCGACTTTCTCGCACATCCCAGTTGTACAGCTTGACTACTAGCCCAAATCATGATCGGCAAAATATAGTTGCTCACGACCGTCCAAAGCAGAACCTTTTTACTCTCATCCGTCATTATAGTGCACCAATCCAGTTAAACGCGATAAAGGGCTTCTATCACGTTTTTAGTGAGCTTAGGTATGAATTGTCATTAGTGCTGGAAATAATAACGAACAATTGATAGCAGAAAGGCTTTAATCTTTAAGAAGAAGGCAGTGAAGTTCATCTTCAGATATTACCAATTTTTCAGTTAATGGCCATAGCATCGGCGTTAGGTAGGTATATCTCACCTGAAGCAGAAGAATAAGTCCCGCAGCTATCCTGAAGGGCGTCATCTTTGGTGAATTAATCTGTAACAAAGAAGAGATTCTGGTCACATAATGATACGGTTAATACCATACGACATCGAGGTGACTGCAACAAATCTACATTCCAGCTGTGTCACTGTTGCTCATTTTGATTCTACGCGTATTTACCAACACTGTCCCATAAACTTCAGATCAGGATCTCTTCGCTATCGATCACTCCACTGCGGCAGTGGCCGACATATTTTGAAGAATTTCCCCTCGGGCGACCCCGGCGGCGTCAGCACCCTCCAGTCTCTCCAGCGCAGTCCTCGGCCGCGCGCTGCCCGCCGGGTCCCGCCGGGTCCCGCCGCGTATTTGGGCCAAACAACATCGGGTAATTGTCACCTGCAGCCACCACTGACCAACAAACAAGGCTGGACAGGTCAGCGGCGGAGCGGGAGACAACGGTGCTCTCCCGGAGCTAATCACTGCTCGCTTATACCCTGTCTGACAGGGACGTCACAGGGCAGTGACGGTGACCCATTGGGGGAGAGAGAGGGGAGACGGAGGGGTGACGGCCGCGGACCGGACCGTCACTCTCACCGTCACGCTGGCGGCCGTTGGCGGCGTCACGCGTCCGTTACCCGCATGTGACGGCGCCCGGTGGTGCCGGCCGGCGGGAAGTAGGCCACAGAGAGGGGAGCCGACCGGATTCGTCCGCGGAGCCGACCGGATTGGTCCGCGGAGCCGGCCGGACGGGGGCTGGGTGGGCTGAAGGCCGACACGGGAAAGCCGTTGGGAACGGATTAGCGAGGATCCGAATTTCCGTTGGAAGAGAAAGTGAAATAGATAAAGGTGTATGTTTTAGATTCTGCTGACATCTAGCAGCTCGTGGATTTTGTATGACATTGATTATAATCGAATGACGGTTATTTCACAAAACTCATTCATTTTTGTGATCCGCAACCGTTCATGTCCTGCTCAGTGCACGATCGTTGATCTAACGCTGCCTTTCATAAGCGAGTGTTTGAAACGTCGTTATCATTTCAGGCAGCTCGTTTCACCAATGTGGGTGCCGACAGTTGACAACCAACATAAGCCATTACCGGGCGCTTAACGTCACATTACGACTCCCCAATCTCCCAGGATGTCGTCACATGGCAGGGAACGCGCTAACCGGGCGCCGTCCCTCCGATGTTGTATCCGCCCGACACGGCTGACAGGCGCCGCCTTCGAGGGACTGTGTGTCACTACTGCCAGTCACGCTACGTCTACCGTGACGCCTGAGGCAACGCCCGAGCCGAAGGCTGTTTGAAGCACGACCGAGCACAGGTCATGTGTTAGGCTGAGATTGATGTCATATTCACAACAATTGCACACGTTTTGAAATAGGTGTGGTTGCATCATGATTGTTGCAGGGTTGGTGCAAAAGACACCAAGCTGCGTCCAACTAGCCGTGAATTATGCTCGTGGATTAGCGTTGCTGCGCGCGGAGGGCCGCCGCTGCTCGCCGCTGCGTGGAATGGAAACACGCATGGCCGCGGGGAGAGGGCGAGACCGACTGGCCGGCACGGTCGGCCGCCGCGCCGTGACCCGCTCCACAGCCGTGACACCCACCGGTTTCCCTTTTCTAGCCGGCCAGCAGCGGGCTCGTGTCCCCTCCCCTTCCCCCGGCCCGGCCGTCCGTGTCCGGTTCTCCAGTCTCTACACAGGGCGGTACGGTGTGGGACTGGGGACGCCGCAGGGTGATGACTGGGCCAGTAGAGTTATGTCTGTCATTCAGAGGTCGCTTTCAGTCACGGCGCGTTCATTACGGTGACAGTGCAAGTAAGGTCCCGGGGCCAAAGGAGGCACGACAGTGAATCGGTGCTCAGCGACCAGAAATGTGTAATGACGTTTGCTGCAAATACGGCTAGCATTGTATGAATCATTTTAGATTCGAAAGCGTTTTCAAGTTTGACTTGGGTTGTTTTCATTTCATAGGCAGAGGGAATCAACAGCGCCTTTTTTGATAAAACTTGAAGATTAGAGTGCAGTATCTCCATGAGCATCTGATATGAATAAAAAGTCCAAAAGGAATCACACCTGAGAAGCGATAGATTGTTAAATGTCCGCATAACTAGTATGCTACATGGTCATGTCTGCGGCGTGCTTCATTATCCAACGAATAAAGAAGCGTACTTAATTTCCAAATCAAGTCACAAGCCTGTTCCAACACTAGGAACATTGTTCCATTGATCTAGTTTTTCGGCCTTGTTATAAACTTTCCAGCAATCGACGTCCGGTTCCGCTGTAACAAAAACAGTGGGGCCATCCCACGCACCACCCACCAAGCGTGTCGAACCGTCCTCTCTCTCCCTTTTCGGAGCTGGACGGTCCGGATGGGAGTGCCACTTCCTCTCTCCTCCCACTCTCTCTCCGCATGGGGCCTCGCTGAGATGTGGGTTATGTTACCGGCTTTCCATATATCAACTAGAAGTCACACCCATCCAGGCGCTCAAAAGTCACAGTCTGCCTCCGACGACGACTAAGCACCAATTCTGACTGAATCTCTATCAGCCAGTCTGCTCAATCAGTCCAGTCAGTCATCAGTCACATTCTCCCCAGCAAGGAGCCTGAGCAGAGGCAACACAGACTGACTGGAGCTCCTCCAGCTGGCGAACCATACCGTGTCGTACAGCGTGGCCGCTTTGGATAACGGAGAACGCCATATGGTCGATCGACGGCTATTGCTTTACAGAGCCGCGCTTTAGAGAAACGGTGACACGGTTTGAGACAGTAAAGGAGACGTAACGTCACCGGCTGTGGCTGAATAAGGCGTCCAAAGATGAATGAGATTCACGTGTTATCAGATTTTTACTTTACTTATCAAACTATTTGTTATGTTGAAAGAGAATGCTCAGTGGGTATTGCGAGAAGTTTGTCAGAGTGCACGGTTCCTGGTAATTGAATAATACCAGCACCGTTACCCACAAACTAAGTCTGGCACTAGTTAGTTCAGCATGGCTAATTTAGCAACAAGCGGCGTTTGGCCGAAGTAGTGAGCTCTAAACCCGACCCATCTCGCGCTCCAGTTCCGTCCTGCGGTCACTCTCTGCCCGGGGCTCCACGGCCGGCCGTCTGTCATCTCGCTCGGACCGCTGTCGTCTCCACCGACTCTGCTTGCCGGAGAGGAGTACAGTTAGCGGAGTGAGGTCCAATGCACGCCAACCGGCGCCGGAGTACCGTGGGAGCGTCCGGCAATGGGTCGTGAGCGGTCGCGGCTGCCAGCTCTGCCGCCCGGGAGGCACAGAGGTGACCGGTACACCGTCTCACCGAGACTAACCACCAGTCTCGCGTGGCGAGGGCAGCGCGGGTCAGCGGCGCGGCGGTTAGCGGCCGTGGCTGCGGCGTCCCGTGGGACCATGTGCAAACGGATCACACCGGGAGAAGTAGGACACACGACCGGACACGAAAACGTGCCGATGTGGTTGGGACCAACAGACATGGAAACAGGACTCGTGAGCAGTCAGACCGCCCGGGGTGAGAACGTTCGATATTTCAATTTCATGAGTGAAAGATACATAGGCGTGAAGCTGATCGTTAGAAAGTGTGTGTCTGTCGATTTGATTTGAATAGTAAAGCTGTGAAATTTCTGAGAACGACAAAAAAAACATTCAGCTACATTTCGTCGAGATGAGGAGCGGTTGACAGTCGGTTACACCGGCGAACAGGCTTGCTCAGCTCCACGACCAGACTAGCTTGCCGCAGCGCTGTAGCTCTCCGGTCCACTGGGCACAGGTTCAGTATCTGGACCGTCTGTCGACATCTACTGCCCCAACTGCTGGCTGAAAACTATCAACCGTTGACTGCCGATTGCTGCATGCTCAAAAGATACTGCTATCTGCGTGAGCCTCATGTCATTCAAGGAACAAATTTCGAGTGAAAGCGTAAAGTCTGCGTCGGCCATCTTCTTACTTTCATCACTGTAATCGCCATTTTTTCTGAAGACAATGCGACCTCTGACACCGTCTACATTACCCACACCGTCACCACAGCCGTCTGCTGACTGCAGCGGGTCCGCACCGCCGTCCGTTTTCTGCGGCGGCACGGCTGCAGCGGCGACCTCCCGGCCGTCCGTACAGCGGTGGGAGATGTGCCAGTGAGATGGTGCGCCGGACCAGCGCGCGCCGGACCCGCGGGAACCGTTAGCGCGGCACAGTGGCCGACTGAACAGGATGACCAGATCGCGCCGCGGGCCGCGTGAGCAGATCGCGCGGAGATATAGAGAGGTGGCGAGATTATGGAGAGATAAAGGAAGGGTAGAGAGATCATTGGTGATAAGACGTGAATGAACAATTACAATATCGCTGGAGAGGGCGAATACATATACGAATACATACAGGGAGTGATTGACCGTAATGCAAAATGGGTCACTAAGCGACCGAGAAAGCGATGGGCATAAAATTAGATCACATGTGTTGTGTGAACTAAGCGTGACCCGAATATGGTAGGGAGACGAATCACGACTGATGTACTTATGCAGTTGTTATTGTTGTCATATGAGCGAATCACAATTTGTATGATGTGGGGAAATATATCATTGTTGGGCGGAATGCAAAGTGAATGGACAAAGATGTGAGTGAATTGGAGGGCATGGTATCAAACAAATAGTCAAGTCTGCTAGCCTACTTTTAGGAAAAACCGCTAGCGCGAATGGCACACATACCTACCTAATACGAGTAATGGCATACCAGAGGCAAATCATTTGTCGCCCATCACATTGTTTTTGCACTCCCGGATAGGTACTGACAGATGCAAAGTGTCTTTTTCAGTTTTCGTGCAACACTGATGAATACAGTTATTATCAGAACGGGTTTTGAAACATATTAGGTACACGATGTCTTTGGCAACGCATACAATACCTATGTAATTATGGCTCTTACATTATAGCTTATTTTCAAAAAGTGTGAAGTTTTGTAGCTTAGAGGTAAGCAATAACATTTTTTTCGTTTTACCTTTCGAGGCTGTAAGTCTCTGACTTGGGTTCAGGTAAATTCATGACCTTATTGTAATAAAACAAGAAAAAATGAGCAGATGCTTCTACTTAAAAAAATAAATAATCGAGCCCATACCACGAGATGTTTTCAGAAGCATGACTTTACCCATTAGTAATGATCAGGCTGCAGCTAGTTATGGTGGCCAACGGTCACTTGATAGGTCAGGTTCAATATAATAAAAGTCATAAACCGTTTTTGTCAAATAACGATTGAAAGAAAGGAGTTACCTACATACAAAGCTTGTAGGGATGGATGCAGGTTTCAATGTCCACAGCGTCTCATCACTCATGATGCGCAACATGATCAATTATCATATTATGAGTTAAAAAGTATACTTTTGCCACTTCGCTTAGTTCTTTGTTTTCAAATGAATGAATTGCTCGTACGTGGGAACCATTTACCTTTAGCCTTCTCATATCTGCAAAGAAAGTGTGACCTTAGCATTTTCGAGCATCTTTCAGATGTCTTTAAAGTGTAAAATATTTAGGCATAAATTGACATTTACTATGTGTTAAGTCTCGGTTGCACCTTTCATGCGACTAGCACAAAGCAATAGCATTGCGGTTACCTACATTACTTTTTAGACTTGAGAACTTAAAACTAAAGACGTTATTTCAAGATAGACTGGCTCTTGACATACGACACAAACACTCGCGGTCACAAGCACACACTCCCGTCCACCACCTCAGGTATAGAGCCAGCAGACACAAGTCGAGTCGCCGAGTCACTCACCGGACGAGTTCCGATCAGCTGTTCCGTTCGACTCCGGCGGCACTGGGTCGGCTCACCACTGCGCATGCGCACCACGCTCGCCACAGAGACCACCTCGCGCCGACGGCCGGACCCGCACTGGCTCGAAGTAGGTTAGTAAGGTAGTTTTATCCGGCTCCGCGGCCGCCACTCGCCGGCACTATCGATCCGGTGCCGGCATCATGCACCCTTCCTACACGCGCAATCGAACGGCGAAATCCGGCCGCATTGTTGGAATTCTGCGAGAAACATCGACTTTCGGACGTAGGTAATCTGATGATATTTGTGTTGCAAGATTGTCCAAAGGGCTTCATAATTCATAGTTCTAGTTTATTTTAGTGAAACGTTTTGAGATGCGGGTATTTTATCGTTTTCACTGCTGCTACTAGTTTGCAAAACTAATGACTGGTACAGTTCTACACAATTCATCCTAAAATGATGTGGGATTTCTGCGATATTTTTTTTTTTTTTGGCACCATCGAGAACCATTTAACATATTAAATTTTGTCAGCATTTGAATGTTTTTATGGGCTACCAAAAATGATTCAGGGACAGGTCTTGTCTCTCTCATTGCTTGATTATTATTTTATATACGATGATGTTTCGAAAATGTTGATGTTTCTTGACAACGACCTCGATGCGAAGGTCGAAAATTCGAAACGAAAACAATAAACGACTAGTAGCCGAAAAACGTACCTACCTTGAACTATGTTGTACCTAGCGTACCTAGTTTGAATTTATAGTCACCGTGGTAATTTGAGATAAATTTGTTTTTGCTTGGCAAGGTCCTGTCCTATCAATACAACAACATACCCGTGACCATTTTCGATGAAATGTGAAAAGTTTGTTTTTGCAAGGAAATCCATTTTTTACTAGAATAAAACGTTAGGTCATGACTATTCAGATAATGTGATGGTGACTTTGAATACCCCTTCGGGTAGCTATGTATGTCAGCATGATCGTGCTAACCATAATTTTGTCCATATAGTTGAGGATTGTAATAAAAAACAAATCATGTTGATTTTCATCGAGTGGGGCACATTCGGTCACTCAATCCAGAATCAACCACATCTGTTCAGATTTGTTGGAATTTGTGCATGCCGACGTCTCGCTCGACGCTCGTTCAGGTGGCGGAGCCGAACCAAAGTCCAAAATTTGCAATTGGGTTCACACTTAACACTCAATCCTCCTCTCCCTGAAGTTGTCTAAAATATTTCAGGCGTGTGATAGAAGACGTGAGAAAATTCGTTGCCAGGACCAAATCTGGTTGTCATTTTCTATATATAATACGAAAACTAGTGGAAAACACTTAAATGAAACATTCCATGGACACTGGATGGCGTGCGGTGATAAGAAGGACGTGTCCCATTGCTGACAGAACCTACTCTATATATGGGCACAGTTTCTGTCAGATGACGCATCGACACATAACCAACTCTAGCGTCGAAACCACTTGAGATGCAGCCGGAACACCAGTGGGGCATTTGAAGCTCTTGCTGTGGGGGATATACCATAAAAGTATCAAACACCAGCTGTTGAAAGTGTGCGCGCCAGAGCCAATTTTGTAAAAAGTGACAGAGTGTGTCCCACACTCCCCTATACGTATCTTGCCCCAAAACAAGCTTTTGTATTTTTATGCCATATTTGGCGGAAATATTGTTAAATGATAGACCCAATCAGCAATGTATACGTCTCTGTTGCGATTTTTTTGATGGAATGATGACAATGCCTACGGGCTGTTATCGGGTTTGTCGAAAAACGAATACCACGAGGAATGTCGCCCATTGACATTTCGCTTTATACATGTCTATACCTCGGGATGGGCTACGCTTAAGAAATTATAAAACGTCTATTATAGCAAATAAGTGAGCGTCTGCCATAGCGTTTTATGACGCGTTACAGGATAAATTGTATGTTACCTATCACCTATGTCCACGGTGTGGGACAATAATTTCTTTTCTATTGCGTTTTTTTTTTTACTTGTAAATGTTTATAAACGATGTGAATTATGAAATATTTGGTCTGTCGCTGTCACTGGGGTCTGACAGCCCCTTGTCGGTGATAGTGTAGCAGTTTGTCTGTTCTATTTCTCTTCGTGTCATGTTTTGTAAACACTTGCTATAAGTGCGGCATGCATGCATTGTGCATCTGGGCTAAACAGGGCGCAAAAAGGTGCAGCGAACACGCGATTGGCTGAAAACTGCAGAGAGAGTATGTCCTTGAAGGTCTGGGCATGCGTCAGGTGTGAAATTATCTGGTACAGCAGTGAAGTATTGCACATCAACCGATTATGACTAAATCGTGGCGATGTGCCCTAAATTGATAATAATTCCCAATTGTTTATTTTTCACACTCAGCACTCAAAAGTAGCCGCTGAGATGACAAGGGAGGGACTCTATCCTTCTCACATAATTCGCAGGCCTGGGTGCTCAGGGGCATGATAAGCATAGGTCAATGGCTCAAACCTTCACTTCGATTTCACCATTCAGATAACTCGGTCACGTATTTGGAAGAGATGGTTATAATTACAGATGCTGTCAAACAATGCTGAGCGCAGCCGCACAGTCGCCTGCTCACTTTCTCAGGAACAGACAGCGGTAGCAGCCTCCCGTGACCTGGCCTTTCATTACACCTCGATAGTGCTCCGCTACCAGACACGGGAAAGTGTTCTGCAAAAACTGACCCGGCCGGTCCGCTCCGGCAGTCCACTGCACAGCATGTGCGCAAACAAAATGCCACCGATTGCGTTACTGGCTCCCGTGGGCCACAACCCGGACCACCACGGGACCATTTCGCGCAGCAGTGGCCTGACGAGGGCCGCAGCAGAGCGGGTCCTATCACCTCATCACCGCAATCACGACTTCGGCAAAACAGCCGCGAGCGCTCGCGGCGACCGGAAGGTGGTGTTTACTGTGCGCTCACACCCGACGTGCTGAAAAATGGCATTGGGAAGCGCTCTCGCTAGTTCTTCCTGACGTGTTTCGCCATGCGCTGCTCCATCGGGTGGGCTGGTCGGCCGCGGCGTTGGCGGTGTGGGCGCAGCTGCGCGGGTTACGTCACCGGGTGGCAGAGAGGCCACAGTGGCACGGGCGACCCATCATTTCCGGCGGCGCTGATCGTTTCGTTGTGCAATGGCCCGGTCACAGGCGGCCAGGAAGGGCAAGTCGATGGCGGGATGGGTGCCGCACGGCGATGTAGTGCGCTCACTCGAGCGTGGCGGGTCGCGGGGTGGAGTATCTGCCGACGGTCTGTGCCTCCAGGCGACATGTTCCGGGTTCGTGTGGGCTGGTGGGGGATGGGCCAATTCAGAGAGTGTCGCATGACAACCCATTGTGATGGAGATGTCTGTACGTAACATGCGGTAGTGGAATTAAACGGCGATTACCGAGCATCTCCTTCCGACTACTAGGCTATCAGACGGACTTCTCACAGTCGCTCTATCTCCTTGCATATTCCTCTCCTATACACAAGTAAACAACTTCCTGCCTTTCCATCTTCAGAATGTCCAGCAATGGCAATTAACCGATTACAACCAATTATCCTCCATTGTTTACCGGAACACACGGCGGGATGATGAAGCCGTCTTATCGGCATTCCTGACTGGTCGGTAAACACTCATTTGGCGAGGGTGTGCCGGCGGCACTGTCCATACCGTCAGCGGCATAACCTCCAGCGGTCCGCATCTCTACTCTCCCGCTCTCCAGCCGACTGATACCGCATTATCATTAACTACTCACCGACGCCACCCACGGGCGAGGTACCGCGTCCGCTTGACCCAGCTTCGATACCCATCCGGCTGCGACCCGGATCTAACACATTCCGATCTCCGGCGACCTTCCTCGGTCATGTAAGACCACATCCGGTGGGTCCGGTGGTCTCTTGAGCCACTTTGACGCAATATCTTCAGTGACGTGTCTCAGTAGGTAGGCCAGGGATGACTCAGACCATAGTCCTGAGGTCGATGCAAGATCCGGATATTCCGGTTGGTGGTGTAATAATCTGGGCTATTTTACAGTGCAGTGCAGGGTAAAAGGGAAAGTGAGCTGGGATAACGGCTTTCCGCGTTGCCGTTATTGCATGGGAATTGGTCGTGATTACAATTACAATGGCATCTGACCTAACGACCATACCTGTAGCCGCGCTTTAACATTCTCCAAGGAAGCCGGATGTGCGGAAATAAAGCGTTATGAAAGTTATCTATCCACGCGATCACGCAAAGAGACAAATGAAATTCTTTTTCTTTACCTTTTTGGTGTCTGCACTACTCATGCAATGCAATGTAAAAGCTATGTTGAGCAACGGAACATTAAATGTGAATTGGTGAGTGCGCCGCGGGATCAGCATAGTGCCTTAACGGCCTAAACTAACAACATTATGCGATGGCTGCTGACAACACTCCGCGTAGCCCACCCCTCCACACCACATCCTCGTCTCTCTCCCGCCCCGCCGAATTACGTCACAGCTGCTCAGTGAGTGGTTTATGTAGGCCATCTCCGTCTCGGCTGACCCTATGTAGGATACCGATGGAGGGAGTGTCCTCATTTCCGCCGGATCTAAACGGGCACACGCACCGGACCTGCGCTGACAATATGCTAATGTTCCGGATATGTCCTACAGTGTGCGACTCAGCCAACTCTTGCTGAAGATTCGACGTTACAAAGGAGTTCCGAGCGAAATTTTTACATGGGTTTGAACTTTGAAGCGTCACTGACGTCATTGCCACTGACTTTGAGGCCAGGGGTTAAATAGATTCAGCTTGTTATCGTGAATGTGCGTCAACGGAAGCGTCATTTGAGCATGGTTTAGCTGAGTATGTTGTCGGTGTTTTCAGAGATGACATCCTGTCGTCTAAAGGCGCTTACTTTGTGTTAATTTCAGCTCAGTCCTTAGCTTTCTATTAATGTGTGAGCTCCAGTTGCATAACAAACGACATAAAAAGGCACGGTTTTATATCAGTACCATGCCTGTGCGCTCATTCACCTGTTAACATAGTGCATTGTGACACTCTCAACTGTTGTCATGAAGTCTAAGCTGTCGATGTGACTTATACATCTTTTTAAGTCAGACAGCACGGCGATTAAGGTCATAGTATCTGCTTATCATAAGTCTATATAGTTATATTTTATTCGAGCTTTGACGGTTCAAATGATATTGCCAAAAGACATAATGTCTCATGTGTTACTATTTCAAACAAGCTCTTAACCCTCGCCCTGGCAGGGCATTTTTCATAACACGGCCTGGCAG